TGGAGGAGGAAGAGTTGCCACAAATGGCGTTTTTGTATTTCAGTTAAAAATTGCAGAGGTTGTGCCTTAGTTGCGTGTTGGGTTTCAGCCCTCTTTGCCACTGCTGAGACTGAGGTCTCTGCTTCGGAGTATCTCTCCACACAGGTGCTGTTTCTGGTGTGCTCCATCCCTTCCGCAAAAATGTTAATTGCGATGTATGGGAAACAATAACTGAGCCATCATTTTCATAAATGTTCTAGTGCCCAAACATTCAGGTTGGGGGAAAGGATTATTAGTGTGCGTTCTGGGTAGTAACCCGCTGCAATGTTGGTGTCTGCATTAGATAAAGTGGACTGGTGTCACAGCGGAATGGGAAGCCACATGATCCACAGGCCCATGTCAGACCCAGGCGTGTTTTCGCACCAAGCGATGGAACGCGACAGTACGGGAATAGTGACACCTTCCGGTACATTCCATCAGCCTGTTCCTGCAGGATACATGGACTTTCCGAAAGTCGGGGTAAGGATTCTCTTATTGCCGATGTGCTATTTTATTTCCACGCTTGTGCATGAGGCAGATGGGCTGCTTGAGGTATCGTTCATTTACACTATTCAACATGTATAAGGTAAATATTTAGGAACCTTCCCAATGTTGTAGGCAACCTAGATTTAATAAAGGTCTTCTGTTTTCTGTGCCAAGAGAAAAAAAAATAGATGCTCAGAAGAGTTTTTAGGCTTGTGTTTTCTATTACTGCTTTAAGGTGGAGAAATTCTTTAGCATGCCACCTTTTCTGTCGTTCTGTATGTGCAAGAATACTGGCATTTATGAATACACAGTGATTCTTTGTTTTTTCTCCTTTTTTAGGGTATGCCTTTCTCTGTGTATGGGAATGCAATGATTCCTCCAGTAGCCCCCATCACAGATGGTACTGGAGGTCCTATATTTAATGGGCCTCATGCTGCTGACCCATCTTGGAACTCACTGATAAAGATGGTTTCAAATTCCACAGAAAATAACGGGCCTCAGACGGTAACATTTTGGTCTTTTTATTCATGGTTTTAACAGATAGTGTGATCAAGACAAAAACATTCTAGCTGTGAGAAAAATGTCTTGTATGGTGCTGCCTGTTTTTCCTCATTTATCTGAGCTGATACACCCCTACTCATTAGCACACTGTGCTGTATGTGTGTATTCTGCGACCACAGTTGTGCATATATATTTATATATATACACACATGTGCACACACACACACATGTATTTAAAATTACTATCATGTGCTTCAGGACAGATGCACATTTGAGATAATGTGCGCTTTTGTGAAGGAAGACATTTATTTTTCTTACGCAAATCTACCTTTCTGGAAAAGAGGATACAGCATGACTCTAAATGATTATTATTAGAGCCAGAAAGGTGTAATGCCTTCCTGTCTTGAGAGTTGACATGAAAAGGGAGAAAGTAGCTCTTCCTTAAATGTTTTTAGCAATTTCTCTGATCTTTCATGGGTTAGAGGTCTTCTCATTAAATAGAACTTAGGTACAGGGATTACATTCCCCTAAACATCTTGGCACTGCTTGGACAGCCCCTAAAACAATCATGGATCAGTAGTAGTTATTGTCATCTTAAATCTTCCCTCTATATTTCATTATACACTGAGCTGTGGACTTCAGTTAGCTTGGAACACTCCAAGGAGCAGGCAGCACCTCCCAGCTCTGACAGATTGTAGGGTTGCAGCAAAGTAACTTGTTCCTTAGGCATAATTCATGTATTGCTCTGAGGTGGCACTTTATCATAATTTATCAACTTCAGGTTTAGTTGAAAAACCATGGTCCCACAAGGTGTTACCTGGGTTGCATTTGTTTTCTTTCTGAAGTTGAGGGTGGTGGTACAGATAGGTAAAAAAAATACTCAGGGTGTCAGCCTGTTCTGTCTTTTGTTCTGAAAACTTTAGGTCTTGAGGTGTTGCCCTTGCACACAATCCTGTGCATATGCCAAGTCCTGTTATATCTCCTGGACAGGGACTGGGCATGCTTTGAGACCATATTTATTTTCCTTGGAGTACATTATTCATGTAGAAAGCTACAATTTATTGCTGTGCTGGAGGAATTGTTGACATAATGGTGTTGATTTCACTCTTTGCATGGGCTATTAAGGCTTCCCACTTGGGCTGGGAGAGAGTATTTTTTTGCGCTATGTGGGAAGGAACATGCAGGCAGATCATGGTGCCGAAGAGAAAAAGCTACAGGCAGAAAGATCAAAGATCCTGTTCCCTCTTCAAAAGCCCTTTTCTCACCTGAATTACAAGAAAAAAAAAAGTCATGAGACTAACTCAGTGTGGTTTATTCATGATTGATAGTTGCATTGTCTGACATGGAAATTAATTTCAAAGCAGTTGAAACTGTAAGCATTTTTGTGTAATTGGCATTTCTGAAATATTTTGAGAAGCCCAGAAGTATGGTGTTAAATAAAGCTCTCTCTTTCAGGTGTGGACTGGAACTTGGACACCTCACATGAACAGTGTGCATATGAACCAACTTGGCTGAGTGGGATCAACTTGCTAGCCTTGAGATTCCTTTTTTGCAAAGGAAAACACAAATGGCAGAAACAGTTTATGTGCTCCCAGATCATTCTACTGATGTGCTTGACTGAAGTGTGTAGGCTTTTTGCAGAAGAACTTACTAACTGACCTTTTTCTGTGAACATTGTGACCGCCCATTCCCCATCATCATACGTTTCAACTTAGTTAGCCTTTATTCTTTCCCCTTTTTCTTTCATTTTTTTTCTTTTTTTTTTTTTTGACATAACTTTCTGTTGAAGCTGTTCTTTGGCTGGTTGGTTTTAGTACTGTAAACTGCTTCTGAGCAACACAGAAATTTAGCAAAATTATGTAAACTTGATCCTGAAGTTTTAGAATGGCAAATAAATGTACAATTGTTTACATAACAAATGGCTAAGCAGAAAGTAAATTTCAATATGTCAGTATAGAGGCTCTACTTTATGTAGACTTAAATTAATGTGAGATATGTACCTTCATATTCAGAAATCTGGATGTTTCCTTCATACATTAAACTATTAATAAGCATAACTTTTCTACTTGTGTAATTTAAGTACAATATAAAACGGGCATTATCAGACTCTTCTTTTCCAGATGTGTTGGATTTTTTTGAGAAGGCATACATCAATTGTGACAAGATGTTAAGGGTTTCCACTTTTCTTCTTTCAAAGGCTTTTCAGCAGAAAAAATGCTTGAGGAAGCCTTTTGGCACCTTCTGAGTTGTCTCCACACACCAACTCTTGTACATGCCTAATAGACATGGTAAATGTATCATTTAGTGCAGTATCTAGTAAGGATAATTCTTAAAATGGAATTGATGCAGCAGGTTTGTTCTGTTTCATGAGTGTTCCCAGAGCTTCTGTTTCTCTGGTTCCTTGTTTTGTCTACACAGGGTGGTTCAAGATATACTTCTGTGTTTTTTCCCAAAGGAAAGCACTCACTTGAAGTTTTAGTAGACCTTCACTGATAAAAACTGGCTGCAGAAGAAAGCTTATTCAGAATAAAAGACTTTGTTTTAGCAGGTGATGCGTTGTTCTGAATTGGGTCACTATTTCATGAAGGTTTACCTTAAAAAAAATGCAAATTAAAATTCCCTTATGGTAATCCTTAGAAACTCTTACCTTCTTGAAGTTGCTTGGGGTGAGCATTGCTTCTGTAAAGCAAACTGCTGTGTCATCTGAGGCAAATTTCAACTGATACAGTGCAAGTCAGATAGCAGTACAGTGTACATATGTATGGTTTGAAGTACACTTAAGTCAAATGTGGTGGGTGTTGTTTTTTGGGTGTGCTTTTTTTGGACAGGATACATGGTTTGTTACTGGTTATTCTGCATGGAGGAAGGCTAAAAGAAAGCTTGCGTCTTTAGTGTGGTGTCACTGAGATTTCAACCCTTCTGTCCTTTCTGTGGAAGTTTACTGTTCAGAGGCATCTTTGGAATCGTTTCAGAGGAAGAAATACCCAAGATTAGTTAGGTGATGTGACTTACTGTTTTAAAATTTCAGCCTCTGTTTTGTAATTTGTCATGATACCATCTTAAAGACCGGAAGAAGAAAAGAAAAAAACTCACTTTTCCAACTATTTGAACTAAGATATATATTGTGTAACAAATTAGTTGGTTTAGAAAGGACCATTAATAATTTAAATTTCATTTCAGCACTTTAGTATTGAAGTGGGGAACAGTGCTCTTTATGCCTTTCCTATAACCTTGCCCATACTTAGATTTTTGTGCTGAATGCTAAGCACTAATTAGGATTATTTGCGTTCTTACTCTGAAATAATCTTTCTGAGAAATACCACTCACTATTACAGCAATGTATTTCCATGGGTCAAAAGAACAGGATTTCTGGGGATATGGTTTCTATTTACCTCTATTTTGCTAACTTGAAAATCAAACCTGCGGACAGGGGAGCAGAGGCTGGATGCTGCATTTGTAGCATCTGCCTTCTTACATAAAATCCTGGGATGTTCAGTAGAAGTCTGTACTAGGATTTTTTTTTAAAAAAAAAAGAAGCATCTTTTATATTTCCTCTGTAATGCATTTTATTTGAACAATAAAAAATACACAAAAAAGAATATATTGTTTTAAGACCAGCTATGGTCATCTTTTAATAAGAGGGGAGGGAAAAAATATTTTTAGGTATTTTACTACACATCTACAGAACCTTTTATCTCTGACTGAGGGAAGCTATGAGTTTATACGTTGAAATGGGGGTCTGTTGTGGGGTTAATGCCTTGTCCCCTCAGCGGATTAATCACAAGGTTCCTCCTCTTGGTTCCTCCTTTTCTTTCACCGGAGGACGGGGCAATTCCCTCACGTTTCGAGGTGTTAACTGCGCTCTTGCAGCCGGTCCTAGCAGCGCTTGGAAGTGGCTCACAAGTGAAGGACACCTGCAGCGCCCTTCGCCCTGCCCTTACTCAACGTAGCCGCGGCGCTGTCGGCTGCGCGCCTTCCCCCTTGCCCCGTGGCGCATGCGCATTGCCCACGGCTGGCCGCCCGCCCTTTCCTCTCTGAGGCGGCCCGTGCTGAGCGCCTGCTGTGGCCATGTGGGGCCTCACGCGACTGTTGCGACCGTTAACGGCCTCTGCGCGCGCGCCGGGCCGCCCGTTAGCAATCGCGGCCGCC